ATGCAGACAAGCAACCCTTCCCCCCCCCCCAGAAAAAACCAAAATCAAGGCAAATCAAGACAAAAAGTCAAAAGTAAAGGGTCAGTATTGAAGAGTTCCCCAATTATGAAGAATGAAGACGATGGTGTCTGAAGAGTGTTTTTTCCAAGGCCTTCTGGAATGCCTTGTTTCTCAAGCTGTAGATGAATGGGTTCAGAAGGGGTGTAATCATGGTGTAGAGCACAGCAACAGCTTTACTGAGGTCTGAGGAGAGGTTGTAGGTGGGACGGACATACATGAAAGTCATTGTACCATAGCATATAGTCACCACCATGAGGTGTGAGCTGCAGGTGGAGAAGGTTACTCTTTTTCCAGAAGCAGAGGGTATGTTTAGAATAGTAAGGATTATAAGGAGGTATGAAACTACGGTCAAAAGAAAGCAGCTGGAAAGGACCAGGAGAGAGAGCACAAAGATGACAGCTTCTGTGACAGTGATATCTGAGCATGAGAGCTTCAGCAGTGGAGCGATATTGCAGAAGTAGTGATCAATGAGGTTGTAGCTGCAAAAATGCAACTTGGAGATCATTAGACAGGGCAGAAAACCAGTGAAAACACCAGTGACCCAGGAACCCACAGCCAGACGCATGTAGGACTCATCAGTCATGACCACACTGTACTGCAGGGGCTGACAGACTGCGAGGAATCAGTCATATGCCATCACTGCCAAGAGATAGCATTCAGTAGCTCCCAGGGAAACAAAATAGTACAGCTGTGCCATGCATCCTGAGAAAGAGATGTTCTTCCTCTTTGCCAGCAGATTGAACAGCATCTTAGGTACAATTGTAGTGGTGTAACAGACTTCCAGGAAAGAGAGGTTCTGGAGAAATCTGAACATGGGTGAATGAAGTTTTGGCTCCAGTGTCACCACCAATATAATAATGGTGTTTTCTAAGATGATGAGAATATAAATAACCATGGCTGCCATGAATAGCAAGATCTGACAGTTTGGGTTGCAGCTGAAGCCCAGTAGCTTGAATTCCAGCACTGCTGTAACATTTGTCATCTCTAAGAAAGAGTTAAGATTTGTCTGCTAAGGAAAATATCAGTATCAGAATATGATAACTTTCAGTGGTTAAAATTTATAAAGATTAGGATTCTCAAATAAAATTTTAGGAACAGCATCAAAATCACTGCCAGTTCTGTCCTTTTTATCCTCTACTCCCCTGGACTCTTTCTCTCATGAAACCTAAGTTTTAACATGTATTTCATAAATTTGACATTGTTAATTGTAGAACGCATTGCAAATAGTCCAGTTGCAAACAGTTGCATGTGTAAGAAAGTGAACAAATATATAAAGATATCATTTATATTAATCCATATAATAAAATTGTATACTTACACATATACAGTATATGAAGTTAGACACACAGACATCAAGGATCTGCTTTTTGCTGAAAGAAATAAAAAAAAATACATAATCAACAGTGATTATTGCATTGAATATTTCATTCACTAATGATCTTTTTAATAAAAATATAGGTTATCGTTTGAATGGTCCGTACCCATATAAGGGTACAAATAAGAATCCTCTCAAAATGTTCTCTCCTGAAGAACTACAAACTTTCACAAGGATTAGTCAGTAATATATTTCTTGTTAAATGCCTTGAGTGAAGATATAATTTCCACCTCAAGAACAGAAACAATAGAGAATAATCTTTTACTAGCCATTGATTAAGAGCATTGATTAAGAATGCCATTTTCCACTTTCAAAATAATGCTGATACGCATGGCACACAGTATGTGTCTAATTTTTCCAGAGCTGTTTTACAAACTGTGAAGCATTAGGTGTGAGTATGTTTCAATCTGCATTCAGGCTCTTGTCTAAGAGTGTATACATCAGTAACTTTGTTGTTTTGGGGGCTTAAGGTGCAATTAATGACAGTATAAGAAAGATTAATTAATTTTCTGCTACTCTGTAGTTTGAGTCTTATTGCTAAACCCTTACGCTGACTAAAATATCATCTTGGTTAGAAACCCTTTCAGACTGAACAGGCTCTTGGTCAATCTCGGCTTTCACAAAGAAACACAGAGAGAGATAAAAGCTGAACTGTACCAAGCATGGATTTCAAACCTTGTTAATGATCTCTGGGGATTAAGGCCATGGGTGGAAACACTCCATGGGGCACAGTACCGACAAGGGACTGAGGATACATCTGCAAGGAAGACTTTGTTAGTAAGAGAAGAAAAAAAAAAAAAAAGTGAAGCCGTCATGAAATCTAACCTCCTCTGACTCTTTTCATGCTGTAGAATATTTTTTGTAGCTGTAATGCTATCTACAATCCACTCACACTTTTCTTACTACAGCAAAAATACTGGAAATGTTACCGAGAGGAAATGATTCTTAAGTGTTCACCATAACTGCAGTGTACATGGTCGGTTCCAAGCACCCTTCTTGAGACCACGGTAGGGAATCTACCCAGTTTCCAGTGGATATCATGAAGACAAGTTTAGCTACAAGGATGTGACCTTACTGACTATCACCATGTCCATGGTCCAGTTCAGCAAAAGTGATCAGAGTATTGAGGCTGTGTTAAGATGTTATGAGACTGCCAACACCTGGGACCTAAGATTTGTCCTTCCTGGCTACTGGAGGTGGGTCTGGTGGGCTCTAAGGCCAAGAGATCTCTCTCTTCTAGGCCAATAGATCCAGTGTGGCTGCTGCTGTCTCATTCATATGCTCATCCATCAGTGAGCATGCATCCTAGAGACGCATACACACACACAACACTAACACTGTAGCTATGAAAACAGACATTGAGAAGGGCACTGATTTAAACAACACCTACATTTACCACTACCGTAACCAACAAGGAATGCCAAGTATATGTATCCAAGTCCCATTCCATCTCTGTGGCTGATTGGGATTGAAGACCAGTAGCAAAAATACCCAAACCCTCACTCCAGTCTCATCAGAACATCCTGAACTAAATATTAAAATATTTTCCATATTTAAAAGAAATCATCATATCTGACTACTCCATCAAACCCCCTCCCCCCCCTCCCCCCCCAGCCAGTGAGACATAACTTAGCTGTGTTTAACATAATACAGCATCTCACCTGTCAGGTGGGGCTTTGATTTCTTACATGAATTAGATTAAACTGACTGTAATAATACTTTTGCAACAGAATATACTGAATCTCAAAAAGATAAGAATAAAACTGACATTAGCTTTCACTCATAATCCCTGATGCTGAATGGGAAAGTAGCATGCTAAGCCCTTAACAGAAGTGTGGTGATATTTGAGTTCAAGAAACAACAGCAACTATTCAGACACTGTTGAATGCTTGTTCGTCATAACTCAGTGAGTATGGGAGAAATTACAGTTAAGATATTTTTGGATCTTTTTTATCATGTCTTTGCAAAATGTGTTGAAGAGAAATTAATCCCAATGTACTCCTAATGGCTCCTAGCCAGGACTGATGGACTCATGTGAATCACTACACTTGATGTGGACAAAACAGATGTAGATGCCAAGGCAACCTGTTCTGTTTTGGGAATAGAATAGGGCACTCCATGATGCCAAAACCGGCATAAAATAACTGCTCAGAGACAGTTTTGGATCTTTAAGCATCAAAGATATTTATTTTGAGCAATGCTGGGATGCTACCCAGCTCTCGCTGGACAAACTAGCTCCGAAGTTCTCAGTGAAAAGTCAGGTGATTTATACAGTTTTGGTGAGAGATTACAATATTTTATATGAATATTTATTAAAATTACATCATCTAGTTATAATATTCATATTAGGTGGGATTCAGGTGGAGTGTGAGGTGGAGTCGTTCTTTTGGGTAGATTCCTGGGGGTCATTCCTGTTTCTTCGGCCTCATGAGGGTCGTTTTCTCTGTTCCTCATTGTCATGAACTTCTCAGCTCTTCCTGACTACGTGCAAAAGTCTTACTAAAAAGACCCCTTTACTCAACTCTTCACCCCCCAAATGTCCATCCTATCTAATGTATGACTACTAGGCCAACTTTTTGTTATCTTTCATTAGGATAGAGCATACCAGGTGCAAGCAGACCTCTCACAGGCCTCTGGGAGCCTGCTGCCTTCTTTCTCTTAACTAATCTCATAACACATGCTCTCTGTCTCTGTCATTTTAATCTAAATGCAGCATTCCTCAAAGTGGGATCTGTGATCCTCCCTTCAGAGCAGGATTCTAGCATCTAAAAATCCTTGCTCTGTTTCATCCATAAAAAAAAAATATTTCAATCTGTCTTGTACAGGAAAAAAGACACTGCTGGGCTCTTGCATCACTAATTGTTGCTTAGGGAGGAAATAGAAATCAACTGGAATTTACTGTGTTTCAAGAAATATTATCCAGGTATGACAAGAACATCTAAATGTAACGTAATAAACCAGCAAACAAAATAGTTCTCTCTACAACACTGCATCTTCTGGATTACAACACAATCTCCTCACTTATCTGTCTGGTTTTGTTAAGGATGCCAGGAGAAGTTACCTCTTTCAGCCCCAGACCAGCACCCTCTTGCCCAACCACTGGAGCCCAATCCTGTGGCTGGAGGGCCTATGCTCCCTGTCCAGGCTGAGGGACAGACCTGCCATTTCACCATATGCAGATTCAGTAATGAAGCTGAACACACACCTCTGAGACACACAGACACAGAGAAAGGAGACTGAGACAACTGATGAGACACACTGCCCCAGGCAAGGCACTGGCACACCTAAGCACAGCAAGCCCTTCCTCCTCTGGAAATGGCAGAGACAGGATGTCACTAGTGCAGACACCCAAATGACAGTCTCTAAGTTCAAAACCACACACATATACTCAGGTTTCCTGAGTCTGAACACAGCCACCTTGCTGCTCAGTACCCCTGCACGAATCTCAGCCCTCTTGCTCATCCTATGGATTTCCCTATGCAACAGTTGTTTCAGCTTGGTATACACTGTAAACACATTGCCCTCATGTGCTCATCCCCAGCTCACCTCCCACTCCCATTCGTGCCCAGACCCATTGGTGCCCAGTGCACCAAAGAAGGAGATTTGTCCCTGTTTTTATGGGGCTCCTCTCTTAAGTCAAGCAAAGCAGAACTCCTTGGCTTGACCCTTCCCTCTAGGGCTCACGTTCTTAGGGGAGATACTGCAGCTTTTGCCCTTCAGCCTTTTCCAGTATTCCTTCAAGAGAAGAAGTCCCCACCTGACTTGTTGATCTGATGCATTCAGTGACACAGACTGCGTGCAAGAAGCAGTTTCTCTGTTCTGGGCTGTGAAGACCTTGTTTATCAAGGTGAGATAGAGTAATTCCAAACTTGTGTAATTCTTCCTCTGCAGTAGGTGCACATGTATCTCAGTACATGTATCTCTCTCGTGGCCCAGACCACCAGGTCAAATGCGAAAATCCTGTGCCCTACGGCCTCCAGTAGCTGCTTGTAGGATTGTAAACATCCTGGTGGCTGGGAAAAAAATCTTACTTCTGTGAGACTTCTGTTTGAGTAGTGAGGACTGGCAAGAGAAGGGACAGAGCAACAGGCAGGACTTGGTTGTTTAGTAAAGTAATTCAACTGCAACTGATGAGAATGAGAAAAATGATGACTGTGCCTGCCATGAGTGATTCTGTCTCTATGAAATCTAACATATCTGGCAGAGAGAGCATCATAATCTAATGGGAACACTGGAGGAGAAGAAGATGGTCAGTTCTCCAGACTTGCTGAAGGGGCACAAAAGAGTTTCAGTCACCTGTTTGGTGAGTTAAAATGTCTGGCAGAGACCCATTTTGGCAAAGTCAGGAGTCCACATGGTTATGGGAATAACCTCAAAAGGAGTGATCGTCAGTCCTTCCCTCTTGCCTGTTATCCTTCATTCTGCTGTTGGCAGAAGATTGTCTAAAGGTTGTGAGAGACAGCATTAATTCTGATTGCAGTCCTTGCTGAAATCTGGACTGCCCAAAATGAGAAAATCAGCAGACAGGATAGAGAATTAGGTTCAACAAATGTAAGAGATGGCAGAAGGACTGAAGGCAGCTTGCTGAGGATTATGTGAGCAATCCA